ATCTCCGTCTTCTTCCTCATCTCCTCCTCCTCCTCCATCAGTTTCATCTCCGTCTTCTTCCTCATCTCCTCCTCCTCCTCCATCAGTTTCATCTCTGTCTTCTTCCTCATCTTCTCCTTTGCCTTCTTTTTCTCCATCATCATCTTCATCTCCTTCTCCTTCCTCTTCATCATGTGCATTTCCACCTTCCTCTTTTCCCTCCTCTTCTCCTTCACTATTTTCTCCGTCTTCTTTTCTTTCTCGTTTTCCTCCTCCTTCTGCAGCTTCTCCCTTATCACCTCCTTCCTCTCCTTCATCATCCTTTTCCCCGTGGTCTCCATCTCCTCCTCTTTCATGATTTTCATCTCCATCTCCTCCTTCATATTCTTCTTCCTCATCTCCTCCTCCTCCTCCTTCATCATCATCTTCTCCTTCCCCTTCTCCTCCTTCTTTGCCATTGTCTGCGCCATCTTCTTTCTCGTGTTCTTTTCCTCCTCCTCCTCCTTTCTCCCTTTCTCCTCCTTCTCCTCCATGGCCCCTTTCTTCTCCCTCTCCATCTTCTTTATCATCATCATCATCATCATCATCATCATCATCATCATCATCTTTATGGTGGTTGTCATTTTCTCCTGGGAAACCAGAAGAGAAGTGTTTAGCCTTGGTGTGTAAGTCCTTGTTACTTGAAACAAGGGGGTTACTTGAAAAGTCACTGCAGCATTACTGCAAAGGGCAGAGAGCATACCTGGAGAAGAAGCTGTTTTGTCTGAAGTGGACGTTGTATCTGCAAATAAAGAAGAACCACACTCAAATCGAGTGGAGAGCAGATGCACTGTTTTCGTTTGCCTGACAGTGTAGCTACAATGGCCCTTAAGAAATCAGTGGTTGAAACAGAAGAGAGAGTGGGTAGAACTGACCCAACAGCAACCTGGTTTCAGTGTGTACCTGGGAGCATGCTGGCTGCGTTGAAGTCTAGCTGAAGACAATGCAGATGCCTCCAAGCAGGGAGTGGTGTGGGGCCCCCCAGCCTGACCTTTCATGGGCACATCAGCTTAAGACCAAAGCCACACACCCTAGTAGAGGCATCACCTCCATGTCTAAAAATGAACAAAAGGAACATGGGCGCAATTTCTAGTGAAAAAGACACTTGGGCTTATACTGTAGGCAAAATGTTCGTTTGTCAATAGAAGAAGGGGAGTTGGTCATATTTAATCTTAGCAATGATGAAACATACAACTTTCCTCTAGTTCTTAAATGCTCCCCCCACCCTGTACGCCCCCTGCCCACTATCATGATCCCAATTCTACCTTACAAATCTGGATAGACCAGAGGATGTACACTGGTACAGATAGGAACTGGAAATATAAGACCAGGGGTGAGAGGGTGGAGGGAAGGTGGGGTAGAAAGGGGGAACCTATTACAAGGGTCTACATATAACCTCCTCCCTGGGGGATGGATAAGAGAAAAGTGGGTGAAGGGATATGTCAGACAGTGTAAGACATGACATAATAACAATAATTTATAAATTATCAAGGGTTCATAAGGGATGGGGTAGCAGGGAGGGAGGGGAAAAATGAGGAGCTGATACCAAGGGCTCAAGTAGAAAGCAAATGTTTTGAGAACAATGATGGCAATAAATGTACAAATGTGCTTGACACAATGGATGGATTGTGATAAGAGTTGTATGAGCCCCTAATAAAATGATTAAAAAAAAAGAAATATGAGGCAGAAGAATATTACCTGAGGCAGCATGCTTTTCTGCAGAGTTTGAAGATGCACGTGTATATAGACCGAGAGGGCAGGTTAATGCATAGCAAGGGAAAGGATACCTGAGTGTCATTTGCCATTGAGATTGATTTTGTGGTCAAACTGGCTGCCAAGTGGACTCGTTCTCTCAATCGGGTTGCTGTGGGTTGCCATAGAGTTGATTCTGACCCATGGCCACCCCATGTGAGCAGAGGAGAACTACTCCATAGGGCTGCCAAGGCCATTACCTCCTAGAAACAGATCGATCGCCTAGCTTCTGAGGCATTTCTGGATGAGTTTGGACTGTCAGTCTTTTGGTTAGTGGTTACGTGCTTAATTATTTGCACCACCCAAGAGAAGTCCATCACAGCAATGTACACAGCAGCACAATGTGAGACTCCGTTTTTTGATGGAAGGTCACGTCTGCAGAGAGTGACGAGGAATCCACACCCAGCAAGAAGAAGGGTCACAGGGCCTGGCCCCAGACCATCATGAGAAAGCCAAGTTGGTGACAAAGCAACTTACATTCATGTTTTGGTTTCCCAGTGAGTACAGAAGTTATGTTCATTTGATCCCTTGTCTGCTAGGTCTACGATAGCCTTTTGAAAAATTGTCGGGAGGCCCTATCACATGAACTGAGCACGCACACTGTTGGGATATGGGCTAGCGTCAAATCCTCAATTTGGGAAGAATGCAATTTCGGTGAGGTGCAATAAGTTGACAAAAAATAAAATGAGGTAGGCCTGTCCTAGTGAGCAGAACTTCCAGGTTCCTCTTTTCACGGAAGCTTATGTGAGGCCAAATTTCTTATCAAGCAGCCTAATTTGCCGAGGAGAGTTCCAAGAAGGGACCTTTAATGGGACAGCACAGAGCACTTTACCTGGGGCGGGGGTCACGGCTGCTGACACCGAAGCTGCAGCTGAAAAAAAATAAAAAATGAAAAAGGCATCAGTTAGACAGCTGCGTGTGGCACACGTGTTTCTAGAAGGTGAGGAGATGGCAAGGTGGCCCTCACTGAGCAGTAGGACTGGCCAGCCACGGTGTCCTGCTGTCCAGGCAAGCCTTCTTCCCGTGCCCCCCAGGTCTCCCAGCCTCTGAGCTCCAGTCCTCTCGCCTCACCTTCAGAGGTGGAGAAGGTAACATGTTCAGAAGGCCACAGTCCACGGCTCTCCACCGTGTGTGGCCAATCTCAGAGTCTATAAATGGAGGATTCCCACCCCTTCCCCTTCTAACCACCAGACCAGCACTTTGAGGCTGTTAGTCAGTCCTCGGGAGAAAGAGGAGATTTTCTACTCCTAGAAGGATTTACAAGCTTGAAAAGCCCAGGGAGCACTGCTACTCTGCCCTGCAGTCATTCTGAGTGAATCTCTGGTTTGGAATTTAGTTTCTGTCTATCTTTTCCTCTTCCAGCTGGTGGGAGGCAGAGGAATTGCAGACTGGAACCTCCCCTACGTGGGCTGTTCCAAGAGGAAGACGAAGAAGACGGGAAGGGGCCAACGAGCCCCTCTGGCTCTTGTTCTGAAATGTAACCTGTAGCTGTAGCTCGGCTTTATAAGCAACAAAGGCCATACTTTGCCATTCTAGTTGCTGACTCGGATGCCTTATTTCTCCATTAGTATTAAAAGAGAGAGAATCACTTAAGTATTTAGAAATGACCTTTACCAGGTAAAGGGGCCACTTTTACACCAACTGGAGCAAGGAAGAGGGTCCTCTTTGTTGGCCCCAAACCAACTCACCAGTAAGACACTCTATTTGCTAGGTTCTTGAGCCCAGTCACTCCAGAAACTCCTGAGATAGTGTGAAGCATCTTTCCCTAGAAACTATTCCACAAGAAGTGGGTTCCTTGCTATCTTAGTCAACTATGCACCCACACTGCCTGGGTCCAGAGCTCAGCAGCTGGCCCATTTTCACCAGGGCTGCTGGAATATCTAAGGAGGACCCGGTACAGCCATCCTGGCAACACTCATTTGTAAGTCTCTGGGAGAAATTCCTTCCATGGACTTGAGTGGGCAATTACATTAGACCGGTCATGCAAATGATTAATTACTCATTGATTTTGTACGCTTGACTGTGCTCCACTGAATAGGTTGAACACACTTTCCTCTTGGCTTGTGCATTTAGCTGTGTCCCCAGAATTCATTCACTATTGGGGGACCTATGGATGCCCTTTATGAATCAACTCCATGTAAGTGTATTCAATAGATTATTAAAAGTCAAAGAATTTGACCAGGACATGAACAGTTGCTTAATGAACTCATCGGCAAGCCAAATACAATCATTTATAATAACATGGAACCCAAAATGGCATTAAAATGATCTTCTGACGTGGTTTCAGCAATATTTGAAGATGCTGGAAACCAGAAAAGGCAATATCGATCAACTCCTACTACATTGTTTTATCGGCTTGTTTTCTTCCCTCTGTGTGGTAGCTAGATAATTCTATGTCAAATTGAAGATGTAGAAAAGTGTAAGGGTGGAATTCAACCTGCTGTCAGGTCACAGGCTGGCGCTGCCTCCTTGGGGATGTGCCTTCTCCAAGGGAGGACCTGGACTCTCCCTGCCCCTCCGAGAGCTACTGGAGCCTGGCTGCAAGGCCTCTGCTCCCACTGGCCGGGCTTTCCTCCAGTCTGCATCCTTGCATGTGGCTGCGTGAGTCCAAAGAGGGACTGATGGACTAGTATCTGATTTATGGACTTGATTTGGACTGGGCTGGGATGACATTTCTTGATATATAGTTACTTCTTAATATAAAATGTTTTCATCTACATAGATGAGTATCTCTGGATTTGTTTCTCTAGTCAGCCCAGCCTAACACACTCTGTCTCCACTGCACAAACACCAGGGGCTTTATTGACTTAATGCACAAATATTGACCGATCATCTACCATGTGACAGTCAACTGTACTCAGCACTCAGGTAAAACAATCAACAATCTAGATATAGTGCCGTTCTTATGGAGTGAACCATGCCTTAGGGAAGACAGATAGGATCAAATGAATACACAATCCATGCAAATTTGCCACCTTGACAGTGTGGTGAGGGAGGGATGCATGACACGGAGGGCGCGGGGGACCTCCAACGAAATGACGCCACAGGGCCAAGCCCGCCCCTCTCCATTCTGCCCCTCCCCCTCCTGCCTGGCCCAGAGTCTGGGGTAGACCAGACGCTGGACTCAGAGACGGTGACAAGTGCCTGCCCACGGGCATGACAACAGCCATGCGGTGGTCCTATTTGGCTGCATTCAAAGCGCCACGGGCAGAGGACATCACCGAGTAAGGGAGTCACTTCTGCCAAAGTCGATGTTACGACTGAAGACAAAACACAAAGGAACATTGGTCACCTTTTAAACTTATTTCTGGTGACACACAGTTCTGTCTTTACAGCCTTACTCGCCAGGCTTTGTTATGGAAAACATTTGAGCAGGAGGCCTGGTTATTTCCTGCTCTTCCACTAATCCCCTATCGAAAAAAGAAGTTGATGTACACAAGTTAAAAACACATGAAATGCTAAAAATGAAAACATCCCCTCAACGAAACATGTTTCCTGTCTCTTTTAAGCAAAAGAGAGTGGACATATTTTCCCCGGTACACTTCTGAGGAAGGGCCCTGTTGTCCAGGGTTGTAAGACAGAGATGTGTCACAGCATCTGGAGGTAAGTGTTCATTCTTGCTCCATATCACGGCCTTTAAAAGGCTGGCAACTTGTCGATTTATTTATTGAGCTCTCAGTGGCCCTTAAAGGTGGTGCTGTGGGTAAGCACTGGGCTGCTAACCTCAAGGTGGGCAGTTCGAACCCACCAGCCATTCTATGGGAGAAAGATGAGACTCCTGTAAAGATCTACACTCTTAAAAACACTCTGTAGGAACAGTTCTATTCTGCCTTACACGGTTGCTATGAGTTGGAGTCAACTAAGTGGCAGTTGTGTGTGTGTGTGTGCGCGTGCGCATGCACGTGCGCATGCATGCACTATTATTGAGGAAGCAGAGGCTTTGAGAGGCACAGCAACTTGTCCATCATTGCAGACATGGTTAAGGTGGTAGCCAGAACTGGGCTCCAAGTTCTCTGGCCCCAAATGCAGGGATGCTGCATTTTGCTCAAATGTTTCAATGGCCACAGGATTCAGAGAAGCGTTGTGCTAAACCTCATGAAAAATGGTCCTTGACTGCAGGACTCCTCCGAGCCTTTACTGAGCTAGTAGCCTGTGAATTCTCAAGAGAGGAAGATGGGATTTCCCCAACTCGTTTAGCTATGCAGTCCTTTTAATTTAGGATGAGTGTACCGCACCGTGAAATACGTTTACGAGATGCGGAACTCTGTTATGCTCTGAAGTCCTGTGACTTAAGTAACAGCAGAGTTTACGGAATACCCACATGTGTGGGCACTAGTGGGCATGTGAGCGAGGCCGTGTCGTTATGAACAGATTCAGAGACCAAAGAGGAAGGGAGTAAACCCGGTGCCCTGTATCTGGAAGCCGTGTGATTTCTGTCTGCTACATTTACCCTTTCAGCCAATGAAGCTGTGAGTATCTTGTATTCGTTTGCTACAGGCTTGAAATTTAACTGCATATGAAATATAAACTCGAACCCTGACTGTATTCAAGGCAATCTATAACACGAAAGGCCTACCGTAAGCAAGCAAACACGTGTAATTACCAGGTGAAGAGGTCACTTCTGTGGCGGCTGCTGAAAGTGCCAAATAAAAGACAATATAAGAAAACATCCAAACAAAAATCCTACCCACACACCCGTGCAGGGTTGTCCTATATGTCTAAATGTGTCTTTACAAAAAGAGGAAAGCCCTCAACGAGCTGCTTTGACACAGTGGCCGCAGCAGTGGCTCAAGCATAGGAACATGGTGCAGATGGCGCAGGACAGGGCAGGGGGTCACTATGAGTCAGAGCTGCCTCCATGACACCTAACAACCACAGCATTCCATGGCCAAGCCTGGGACCTACGTATGTGCTTGGAGAATGTCAACAGGATCCAAGAAAAGGAGACTGGGCGATCTACTTCTACAAATCAGTCAGTCCAAACCCTACAGAGTACATCAGTTGGACTGCAGCCAAGCACAAGGGTGGTCTATTGCTGGGCAGCTTTTAATTTCTTCCTGTTGTACCTGGGCCCCCATGCGTTAGGGCTAACTCAACAGCAGCCAGCAACAATGGAACCCTGATGTCTTCACACTCATCTCCAGGCCCCCTCCAAGAGTTACAGTTCTGGCAGCACCCTCAGGAGAAGTCCGAGAGCAAGTACCTGCGCAAATGACCCCGGCATCTTCCTGATGGCCGCAATTGTGGATGGACAAGCCCCGATGTTGGCACTGGCCCAGCGTGTTCTCGGTGCCTTGGCACTGCACGTCATCCAGCAAGATGCTCCCTACACCGGCCCCAAAGTGGCCATTCCCCAGGGCACTGATGCCCGCCCCGCAGTCCAGCTGCCGGCACACGACGTGGGCAGCACTGGTGGTCCAGAGGTCATCACACACGGTTCCCCAAGCTCCGTCATGGTAGACTTCAACTCGCCCTTCGCACCGGCTGCTCCCATCCACCAATCTGATGACAGGCAAGTCTGGAGAAGACCCAGAGATGATGTGAACGTGGTTAGCGCTCCTGGGAGGTAATTTCTACTGGGACTTATCCTCAGTGCCTCATAGTCATCTAATCTGGTGTCAATTTAAGGATGAAGAGTGTAGGGGTGGAGTCTAGGCTGTCAATCTGGAGATAGACAATGAGACTTCTGTGGGCATGGCCTTCTCCTGAGAATTCTGGGAAATCTGGTACTTCCTTCTTAGAGGCGGAAGACACCTCTCTCTCTCTCTGCTACTCCCTGGGAGACATCGTAGAAGGAAAGCCACCTGGAAGCAACCAGACCTCAGAAGCAGGAGAAGCCACAGAGAGACCCCTGTCAGCACTGAGATGCTTACAACGCCACTGGACCCAAAGACTTTCTACCCACTGGCCTGTGATCTTCTGCATTGGCGTCATTGCATGTGTATCGTGAGTCTGAGGAGGACTTTATAGATTGATTTCAGAAATCTGGGCTAATATCGGACTTAAGGACTTGAGCTGGGCTGTTTTCTCAGTGTTCGATTGCTCTTGTATATAAATCTCTTCTTATACACATATGTGTGTCCATGGACTTGTTTCTCAAGTCTACCCAGACTCACACACCAACCTTGAATTCCAGTACACTGGAAACTCTTACCTTGTGTTCTAGGTGCCATAGGAAGAAGTCAAATTAGTGCTTACAATTGCAGGGGCCAGCTTTACCGTACAGGCACGGATTGTGACCATTTTCCCTCATTATTCCCATCTTTGATAATGTGGGAAATTGCAAGGTCAAGGATATATCTTTATTTCAGAGCCAAGTCATCCAAAGGATAGACATCAGTCTAGGAATGTGTGTAAGGCAGCTTCTCATGAATTACTTATTTTAGGACAAATTTGCCCAGGGGCCCATGTTCAAAATTACAGCATTTTTTCCAGATCCAGAGCCTGGACCAGTGACTGGTTTGGCTTGATGAGTGGACATGGAGGTAGGTCTGTATCTCCTCCGGCCCGGCGGTGCTGGGCTGCTAACTTCAAGGTTAGTGGTTTCAGACCGCCAGCCACTGCGTGGGAGAAGGACGAGCCCTCTGCTCCCATAGAGACTTGCTGCTTCAGAAGCAAGTTCTGCAGGTTTGCCGGGAGTCAGAATCAGGCAGTGAGTTTTTGTCTGTTTTGGGATAAGCCTGGATCCAGGTGACCACCATTAACTGTAATGTCAGGGAAACCACTAGAAAGATTCAATAACCACCAAGGGGGCGCGGGGTGGTGGTGGTGAAAGGCTTACCAACTGTCAGAGCCATTTCTGCCGATTCTGGGGCAACTCCAGCAGCTATGAGAGAAAACCCAGGTAGCAGGTTAGTGCAGGTGAGTATTGCCCAAAGGGCTCATGGGAAATGAGTTGAGGGGACAGATGGATTGCAGTTGAGTGGACAGATGGATTGCATCTGTGCAGGATCCCCTCTCCAGTTCAGAACATTCTAGCAAACATCACACCATCACAGGAGGATCAGAATTTCTGAAGGCTGAGCACCGACCAGGCAGCCTCTCTGAATCTCACTCCACCCGATGGCATTGGCAACCTCAGGGGTAGATCCTGATTTATCGGCACTAATTGGAAGCCTCTACTTCAGTGGGTCTCAGGCTTCCTGATGCCGTGACCCTTTCATACAGGTCCTCATGTGGGGGTGACCCCCAACCCTAAAATTATTTTCGTTGCTACTTCATCACTGCCATTTTGCTACTGTTATGAATTGGGCGATCCCAGTGAAAGGGTCACTGACCCCCCAAAAGGGTCGTGACCCACAGTTTGAGAACCACTGCTCTATGTGAACCTGTCCTGAAGGAGCCCTCAACAGCCCCTCAGACGCTCGGAGGCTATAACGAGGGGTGTTTGGTCCCATCTTGACTCAGTAGATCTCATCCTGTGAAATGACAGCTTGTTCTAAGCAGCAAATGGTAAATATTCAATATAAACAACTGTCCAATTCATTGCCATCCAGTTGATGCTAACTTATGCATAACAACCCTATTTAGGGCTTCCAAGAGTGCACGTAGGGGAGTAGTCAGTTATCTTTCTCTGAACTGCTAATCTGACGGTCAGCAGCCTAACGCCTAACCCACAGTGCAATGAGCCACGTTCACTCTGGATGCCCTCCTCCTGTCTTCATCTCCTAGGAGTCCCAGTAGCATCATGGCTGTGCGTTGGGTTGCTAACTGCAAAGCCGGCTGTTCAAAACCACCAGCTGCTCTGAGGAAGAGAGACGGGGTTTCTATTTCCAGAAAGAGTTACAGGCTCAGAAACTCACAGGGGCCATGCTACCCTGCCCTATAGGATGGCTCTGCTCGAGCACTGACTGCATGGCAGCGAGTGAGTCTGTAGGTCGGATCCCTGCTTGGCGCAGATGCAACCAAGCGCTTTGCTGACCCCAGCCCAGCGGCATCGCAGAAGAGGGCCTGACCATGGACGTTCCAAAGGCCAGAGCCACTGAAAACCCAGTGAAACCGAGATCTCTGCTGAGCTTCCTGCTCACCGTGAATGGGGACTGGCTCAAACTGGGTGGTCTTCACCCCCATCCACGTTGTCTCCTGGGTCAAGCTCAGCAAGGATGCGGGAGCCATGCTATTTAGTAACAAAATGGTGTTTGAGAGATTTCTTCTTACTCTCTTTCCATAAAACTCTCCCTAGAGACAGGAGACTGGAGACGTTCAGCACCCCGGGAGAGTAGTCAACAATGGCTCGCTTGGGAAATACCATATATCCTCGAGTATAAGCTGAGGTTTTCAGCACATTTTTAATGCAGTTTTGGTGGTAAAATTAGGTGCCTCAGCTGATATTTGAGTCGGCTTATACTCGAGTATATATGGCACCTTCGTGGGAAATTTACAAATGGAGACGGATGGAAAACCCATCCTTAGAAATTCAGAGCCAGGCCATGGCAGGGGCACAGGTGGGGGTTAGGACGACATCTGCTCTCGTCTCATCTCAGGCCCAGGGAAGTGGGCTGTGGCAGACAAGCTCCATCCGAGGACTCTTCTCACCTGGAACTAGACTGACTACTGTCCCGAGTTACCGGAGCCTGGAGGCTCCTGGAATGCCGAACTCCCATTGCTAAAAGCAGGTCCATTCCAGGTAACCAAGGACAAATTGCTCCCCCAGCTGGGTCCCCCAGGCCATTCAGTGATCATCTGCCTGGTGGGTTTGGCTCTGTCCCTTGCGATAGACACCTGATCCAGGGGCTCCAGGTACCTGAGCAGACGGCCCCGGCGTCCTCATGGTGCCCACAGTTGTGGACGAGGAGGCCCAGGTGGTGGCACTGCCCAAGGTTGCTTTCATTGCCAGTACACTGCACATTGTCGAGGATGATGGGGCCCGAGCCAGGGCCAAACAAACCGTTCCTTGGGGCTGCCAGGGCTGCCCCACAGTCCAGCTGCTGGCACACCACCTGGGCTGCGGCCAGGCCCCAGAGGTCGTCACACACAGTGCCCCAGGTGTCGTTGTGGCGGAGCTCCACGCGGCCCTCACACCTGCTCTTCCCATCGGCCAGCCTCACCTCGGGCAGATCTGCAGGGGCGAAGAGGCAAGCTAGGATGAGCCGGTTCCCTATCACCAACCGAGATGCCCTTCCAGGCAGACCGTGGTACCCAGGCCTGCCCTGACAGTTTGGGTAGCACGGCCCAAGGAGGTGACATGTACAGCAGAAGAGAGTCTCCGGGGTTTGTACCTGTGTCTGAAGTTTAGCACACACCTGATAATCTCTTCCCTCACTGGGCGGTTTCAACATGGACTGCAGACCACATGTTGGCTTGTAAAGGAGACCACCAGCTTGGGAAAGACGAAAACCCAGGGTCTGTGGTGACCCACAGTGACCTGGGGGGCAGCACAGGGCGGCCCCTAAGATTTCCAAGGTGGTGCTCTTTCTGGGAGCAGGTGGCCTCATCTTCCTCCCGTGTGGCAGCTGAAGGGTTTCACCCACTGACTGCTCAGCTAGCAGTTGGATGTTTTAACCTCCTGTGCCACTTGGGCTCCTGGAAAAGACGTATGCGGCTGACCCTTCCACAACACAGACTGGCACTGCCGGGGTTCATGTTTACACAGACCACCCCACCCCCCCTTGATGCTACCACGGTGAGCTCCATGCCACGTGAAGCTAATCCTCTCTGTGAGCAGCTTGCCTCTCCAGTAACTCCCTCATACAGTGACGTGAGTGCCACCAGCCTTTAAGTGGGCACTTGCAACGCCCGAGCTCCTGGCCACAGCAGCACGGAGAAAAAAATCCGCCTCGCAGCGGACCCAAGCCGTTCACACCCCTGCTGTTGGAGGCCCAGCTGTGGGTGATAGGTGGACTTGTAACTGTTCGGGAGGCTGGGGCCCCTGACCCCCAGGTGGTTTAGAGGTCAACTTCACACTTCAGAAGAACTGGCTTTCTTTCTGGTGCTGTTTCCCTAAAAGTTAATTCAAATGAGGCTTGGGAGTTTGGACCATTTCTAGCTCAGGTCGCACAAAGAATAGAGTGACATTCTCCAGGCAAAATCATTTTAGTCTACTGAAATGAAAAACAGATACAATCAAAACCAAAATGGAACCAAATATTTACTGGGGAGAATGATGGAGGCGGTTGGGGGGTGGTGTTGGTGATGGTGTGGGGCGGAGAACCAAGCAGGGGAAGATAGGTCATCATTTCTGCAAGGTGGTAAGGGATTGACCGAAGGCAGTAAAGAAGAATGCCAGACTCTGAGCCCTCAGAGACGGGAGCTGGTTCACGGGGCCCCTTTTACGAAGGGTTCACAAGGGCATGATGGGAAAAGCCTTAACAAAAAGGCTGAGGGTAGGATGTTGATGAGGGTAGATGGGCTGGGAGACTGTGGGAAAATGGCTTAGAACTTATTTAGGAGCATTTTAGCACTAAGAAGATACCTTTATCTATCCATCCATCCTACCATTCAACCATCCGTCCATCTGTCCATCCGTCCATCCGTCCATCCGTCCATCCCTCCATCCCAGCATCCATCACCCATATGCTTCTTCTTCTTCTTGCAGGGTTGGCTCTTCCCCGGAAAAGGCCCCTAAGCTAGAAGACCCATCCTATGGCTCGCCTGTAAGAATACAGCTTTTATCCCACAGGGCGGTTCTCGTACAAGAGAACCAGGGTCATGACAATAATGTTTGCTGCCCATCTGCTAGCCATAGACGGCTGGACTCTAGCCCCAGAAAAACAATGGCAACATGTAAGAATATGAACAGTACCTATTGGGTGTAACTGGTGTGCATGCTCCCCAGGAGTCGAAGACACTATACATGGCCAAGAGGAAAAAAAAAAGAACACTCACTGTGAGTACATTGCAAACAAACACAACGGACTTTCATTGTCTTCTCAATTACCATCTAAGTCACATAAATGAGTATGTCTCTTAAACAACCCTATCTGATCGCTAGTCAAATAATTACCTTTTACATTGTGGATGTCGCTTTGAAGGTGTGTGTGTTCTTTTGATTAAAGATAGGAAACTCAAAGAAACAAGATTCATCTTGGGGTGATAAGGATACAATCCCACTAAGCACAGGACATCTTGTCTGCACTCTGGGGCTCTGGTGAAGCTGCAGGCTGGTGAGAAGCTCCTGTCACAGGCTCCCCTGCTCCCGCCGCTCTGACCCTCCCTGCTGCCATTGCCTCTGAGGTGCCAGTCACTGTGCTGGGCCAGGAGCTGGCGCTGTTGAGCTGTTCTGAGATGCAGCTCTTTGAAAGGGTCCCACACCAACCTGTTACTGTCAAGACCGCCTCTCTCTGAAGGGATGAAAAGGGGCCCTGGGTCTTCGCCTTCCGGGAGACGTGGAGCTCAGGGCTCTCTCAAGGGAAGTTAAGGCTTGTCAGGGATGGTCAAAGTGAGGGGTGGCATGGGGGTGCGGTGGTCCCTATACTAGACAGCTAGTCACCACTCAATAGATAAGACGGGCATGAACTCACAGGTGCCTGGAGGTCCAGCAGTATAGGACATCCTATGTGCGGCACAGAGAAAACAGGTGGCTTCATGATAGAAACCAGGATGATTAAGTAGTTCAGTCTTTTCATTACCAACTTATTTTCTGCTTTGAATTATTTGGTGATAACATGTGTTTTAAGTAATGGAAGCCATGCTGAAACCGAGGGAAACAATGGAGGTAATACGAATTTTGATGCAATTATATGAGACACATGTGTCCCAAGTGGACTCTACTGGTAGGACTAGTGGACAGATGTTGGTTTCTTCAGATTCACATAGTTCTACTGTCCCCATCAGTTCTACTACAACTGGGATGGCAGCTTCCCAAGAAACCCAACAGGCTGAAAATGTAGGCGTGTGTTGTATGTCTCACGGTCACAAAGGGTTAAAGATATGCTGACTCAGTTGAAATGTGATACATTTCAGAAGGTGAGCTGGCCCTTCTAGGCTGGCCTGGCATGCCCATGGCAGGTCCAGGAGGTGCTGCACTCACCTGAACAGATGACACCAGCATCTTCCTGGTGCCCACAGTTGTGGTTGAACCAGCCATCATGTGGGCATTGCTCTATGGAGGACTCCTTTCCTGTGCAGTTGACATTATCCAGGAGGATGTGCCCGGTCCCGGGGCTGAAACTTGCTCCCGGGAGGGCAGAAACAGCTAGGCCACAACCCAGCTGCCTGCAGACCACGTGGGCATCCTGGATGGACCAGTTGTCATCACACACGGTGCCCCAAGTGTCGGCGTGGTAGACCTCCACTCGGCCCTCACATCTGTTGGATCCATTGGCCAGCCGCAGGCCCAGACCTGGGTGGACATTCCAGAGAAGAACCTCCGTGAAGACTCCTCTGGAACGGACACCAGACAAGCCCTCTCTTCCCTGGACGTTCTACACGGATAATGAAGATGAACAAGCCGACTTCTCCCTTCACTTTCTCTTTGTTTTGGGC